AGACCGGCCTCGCAGGAGTTGATGACTAGTTCCTGGGAATGGGTGGAGAAGAAGGGTTTGTGGACCCTGCCTGTCCGGCTGACTGGCTCTGCGAGAAACGACTGAAACTTTGTGTTTCTGATCTGTTAGTGGAAGTGTGGAGCGAGATGCCTAAAACCAAATATATGATGGCGTAATTCCTCTCCCAATACACTTTTTCCTAACAGAAAAGGTCATTTTAACCTTGCATAATCTTCAACTATCACGTAGGAGGTGTTTCTACGCTCCTCAATGATTGAACGCAAACTAACGATCTCTGAAAAAATTTGCCCAGTCCTTTTGAAAATCCTTTTGTCTCAAATATCACCTCAGTGCTGTGTACATCAGTAGTCTACCTGCTGACTTGTGCTATGGAAGATGTTTACCCCCTCTGTGTACACTTAACTCATTCCCTGCCATTCACATTTTAGCTTTTTTTTAGAGATCTCCGGTTAATTTAGAAAGTACTTGTTAAATAACTTTTTAGTGATTGTAAACCTAATTTTGTTTTATGGTTTTAGGTCTCGTCAGCCTGTCTCAGCCCCTCTCTTTTCATGTCCTGACAAAAACAAGGTTAATTTCATCCCAACCGGATCAGCTTTCTGTCCTGTGAAACTTCTAGGCCCTCTCTTACCCGCCTCCGACCTGATGCTCAAAAACTCTCCTAACTCTGGCCCGAGCTCAGCCCTGGCAACGCTGGCCGTTGAGCAGCTCTCCTCGCGGGTCTCCTTTACATCCCTTTCTGATGACACCAGCATGGCGGGCTCCCCCGAGGCCTCTGTCCAACAGCCATCCCAGCAGCAGCAGCTCCTGCAGGAACTGCAGGGCGAGGAGCACGTCTCCGCTCAGAACTACGTGATCATCTAAAGCGAAGGAGGAGCCGGCCTCTACCCTTCGTCCCATGGATTAGGAACTAGATCTCAGACATCTATCTGCATGGAGTGACAAACTTTCCAAACACCACCACCGACAACAAAATACTTATCAGCATCATAAAGTATCTCTTAACACTGGTCTTGGCAGGGACGGAACGCCTATTCAGCAGTTTTCGTGGAAAGCAGTAATGCTTGCAAAACGTGTGTGTCATTCAGCATTTTAAGTGGAGACTATGCATTTCATAGTATGTTTGACAGATTAGTACTGTGTCCTGTGTTTTGTTCCAAATTCTTCAGTATAAATAAGCTCTGTATCAAAAAGGTTGCCTGTCTAAATAGAAAATGTCTTGCTGTGTTTTGTCCTATGGAAAATACTGTACTTCAGGATTATGTTTACAATTGATCCAGGTGTTTGTTTCTAACTTCTGTAATACATACAATGCAAAAAATAAAATAAAATAAATGGCCACAACAGTTGCACAGTGCCCACCCTATGGCCTAGCTTCAGGTACTTCAGTTGAAGTCTAAACTCAGGTAACTTGGAATGTATATCATATTGGGATATTAAATATTTCACAGCTAAAAAGCTAAAGAGAGAACATCACTCTTTTGCCTTTCCTTATTTTACGCATTTCCCTTTCCTCATTACATTCCACATTCTTAGTATGAGAAGTGCATTCAACCCTAGGAGAATGATAATCCTGGACATGGGTGAACATGAGAAGAACCAGCAAATCTGTGGTGTCTGACATCACTTTTGTCATGTGGTTACGAGTAAAACAACTGTTGCATTCACTGTTTCAACATGTATAAACATGGCTTTTTTATTTTTTTTTTACAAGTTCAGGTGTTGCTCAGTTAATGACTGTTCAGTGTCACGAAGTGTCCAGTACTAGGCTGTGCATAAACATTCCACATTGTGTGTGTTGGAATTTAAAGACAAGAATGTCTAGGTTTAAATTCAGAATTAGTGAAGTTTCACAGGGAATGGCTGAGATTTTTTTGTTTATATTGGCTATCAAGGTCATGAAATATGCTACTGTTTTATCTAAAGGCATATTAACATTTAGTTTCTTTTGGAAATTTTTTAATTTGCAAGTTTAAAATGACACACTTTGGGTTATTTCCTCAAGCAATCTAGGTACATGAGTTGCATTCATGTAGAGAGAGAATATATGAGTCTCAGAATAAATGCAACACAAGTAAGCAGGTTATTTGGTGACTTACAAAAGCCGTAGTTTGAAGCTGTCTCATTTAAGCCTCTTATAATAATATCATGAATAGTTCTGTTAATATTTTGGATGTACAAAGTAGAGCGTAAACCCAAGTAAATAGCCTTGAACTTGCAGACTTGACCAAACTTTTCAGCAAAGTATGAGGAGAGCCCTAGGTGCTCCTGATGGGTCAGTGGAAGAGCCGACTTTCAGACATTGTTTCCTGCAGCACAAAGAGAGTATCTAAAAGCGAAAGGAAGCTTTTGTATTTTTATTCCATTGCTTTCAGTTCCGTAAAACATAAAGAAGTTCTTCATCTGCACTTAAAGTATATGGCACAATTTTCTTAAGAATTAAGGGAGCAAGGCGCCCACAGCTACAGGAAGGCTTCAGCTCCTTTCAGTCTTTCTTGGGTTTTCTTTATTTTCTAAGGAGGTCAAAGAAGAAAGGTGATAATGATGAACGCAACGCCATTGATTTTTTTTTTTTTTAAGAAATAGCATATATATTATTTGTGTGTGTGTGTGTGTGTGTGCGCGCGCGTGTGTGTGTATTCTGTGTATTGTCATCCCAATTATCTTCTTTCCACCAAAGTTTGCAGTAATATTCTCTCCTGAAGGTGCATTCTGGCTCCTTTAAATTAGTCAGTGTTATATTGTAGGAGACTGTCATGGAAAAAGACTCAGTTTACTTTTGCCATTTTCACAGGGGAAACTTTTCAAACAATCTCTTCAGCAGCAGACACCTTTAACCCTAATAATCTCAGGCCTTGATGAAAATATTATATTTTGTAGATTATGGTTAAAGGGAGATTATTCTGTATGATAAATATGAGCTCCATTAACTTCTGATATCTGGTTTAGCATTATATAATGTGTTGATCTTATGCTCTGCTTTTGTCCAAATAATATGCAATAGTATCAATATCAATTTCTGGAAGATGGACTGAATATGCTTTTTTGGTGATGAAATCTGATGTACGATATTTATAGTGACATGTGCTTTTATTTTCTCATGAGAAACTGAATTAATTGTGTTGTACATTTGTTCTTAGCATATATTAAAGTTTTGAACCAAATGTGTTAAAGCTTATGCTTTGCCATGTAAATTTCCCAGAAGTTGTTGAGCTCAAATGTATCCTACATCCAGCTGTAGAAATTTGTCAGAAATCGTTTAAATTTTGTATATAGATGTACTGTTTAATTCTAGCCACTGCGCTGAACAGTATTCAAGTCACCATACAATATGGCTTTACACAAGGAAATGTGTGGCTTTTGTTTTGTATTTTTTTCAGTATAGAAGTTCCTGTGTCTTATTTAAATAAAGTTATTAGTAAAACTGGAATGGTCCACATATGTTTTTGGAAAGACTGGGTGATTAGCATCTTAACCTTACAGAAGTGAATTCAGCTCAAGGTAATGGCAGTATTCAGTGCTTATTGAGTTCCTGACCTGCATCTCTGGGGCTGTAGGGAGTCTAGCTGGATCAGATTTCCACAGCTTGGTTTCCTCTTGACATTTAATTTACACACTTTCCCTCACAAGGTAAGAAGCCAGGTGTCTAAAGTTCCAAGTCCTTGTGCTGTTCCAGCTATGAGCACCTTAGAGAAAATGTCCCCATGTCATTTTACAGCTAAGAATTTATTTGTGGAAATAACGTTTGGCGAAATCACCTCAAAGGAAGTTGCATATTTCTTGCAATGAAAGTTGCAGCAAAAATAAATTAACTTTTTATTCCTTTTATTTGTGTTTATATTCAGGATAAGGAGAAAAGCTTTATAAAACGAAGGAGCGTTGATGTTATGCCCAGCTACACAAATAGGGCCACGTGGTGTCCAGAAAGCAAAAGCAAACCACTGAGAAATAATTTACCAGCAGAGTGTTCATTTTCGAAGTCCAGCTCATCAAAGGGATTGATAAGATTTGACCTTTAAATTGAACTTAAAAATGACTATGTAGTATCTGTGTTTTGGGCTAAAAAAAAGTCAAGTTAACTTTTTAATGGTGAGACTTGTCAACTATCTTCTTGAGGCTATTACATAATTTAGGCAGGAAATTAGCTTATACAAGTTAAACATTCCATTGCAAATGAATGGGAAAGAAAAGTAGAATTCTCAGCCCCATCTCTGCTTGACTCAATCACATAAGTTTAATACAAACAGCCCTGAAAAACGAGTCAGTATATCAGTATTTGCAAAATCAAGCCTAAGAAACAAGGAAGGGGTTATTAGGTCTTATATAAGTTTAACCTTACGCTAGCTAGAAAGTCACTTGAACTTTATGAATATTGCACAATAACTTTAACCCTATGCCCCACCCCATAGCTTGAGGCCCTTCTAGTTCCGAAGGTCCTTTATCCTCCACATGTTCCCTGCTGCTCTCTATGAGCAGCTTCTACCTTCTACCACATTTTTGGCACCCACAGGCCTTTTTTCCCCTGGACACTCACTCCTTTGGTGAGCTCTGGGCTCTTTGGAGCTGCAGGATCTTTGAGAAAATGGATCACTTAATACATACCTGGGCTGAATATGAATGTTATAGACTAGCCCCACAGTTCCAGTTGTCTAAAGAGCGTCTCTCAGACTTGTTGCCTCATCTCAACTTGATTAAACAGAATGAAGACACTGTCTTGTCCTATGTTGTACCAGATCAGTTCTCCTCCTTTTTACACTTCTATTCCTAGTTCCCAGAAGACAAAGATTGGAATTCTGTGTCTTGAAGTTTTCTCCACACACATCTTTCAGATTTGCTGTTCTGTCTTCCTATTATCTCACCACCAGTTTTCAAGCTGCAGAAGCACGATGTTGGCAGGTCAGAGAGCTATGCCAGGTGGATGAATTTCTTTTGAAATAAGATTCTGATGGCTAGGAAACAAAACTAAGTGTGCTAGGCTTTCAATACGACTCTAGCTATAGACCAGGTGTCCACTAACTACTATACATTGGCCAAATCCACCCCATGCCTTTTTTTGTAAGTACAATTTTACTGGAATAAAGCCACACTCGTTCACTTACGTAATAGTTAAGTTTTGAGGGGAATTGGTATATGGAGATTTTTGACTGTGCAGGGAGTTGGCACTCCTAACCCCCTACCCCTCCCACAGCCACATTGTTCAAGGATCAACTGTGTTCCCTATAGCTATTTTGCAGCGCGATGTGAGAGTTAAATAGATTCAACAAAGACAGTCTGGCCCACAATGCCTAAAATATTTACTGTCTGGTCCTTTACAGAAAAAAATTTCTGACCTCCGATGTAGAGCAAAGAGCAAACTAAATGTAGATAACTTGTATCATATATGGAGTTGTTTCTAAAATATGTCCACAAATTCTATAATACTTCTCTCTTCAAGAGATAGAGCACAATTTTCTCCCTTTAAGTGTGGGCTGGACTTACTTATGAATAGAATCTTGCTTCTGTCTTGGGGTGTGTGCACTTTATTGGATCACTTGCTATGGGGGAAGCTATATTATGAAGATATTCAGAAAGTCTGGAGAGACCCACATTGCAAGTAGAATCCTCTGGCCACCAACTAGCAAGGAACTGAGGCCCCCTGCCAGTAACCATGTGAAGCAGATCGTCTAGCCCCAGGTGAGCCTTGAAATCACTATAACCTCATGAGAGACCTTGAGCCAGACCCAGCTAAACCATTCCTGGATTCCCCAGAAATTGTGTGAGATAATATTTGTTGTTTTAAGGTGCTAAGTACTTTATTACATAGGGTTAGAGAATACAATACAGCAGCTGCCCTCCATGTCATCCCCCACACACATACACACATACCCACTACTGTCACCAACATCACCTAGATTCTTGCCTTTTTAGATGGGTAATTCTATTTTTGCATTGCAATTTTTAAAAATTTTTTATGGTGGCATTGGTTAACTAAATCCAGTAAGTTTCAGGTACACAATTTAGCAGTAAGGCTTACACACACACACACGTACACATATCTATAGCAGTAAGGCATACACACACACACACACATACATATGTGTATATATATGTGTGTATATATATGTATACATATATATGTATACATATATGTGTGTGTGCGTGTGTGTGTTCACCACCCATAGTTAGATTTCTTTCTGTCATTACATGTTTACCCCATCTACCTCCTCCTATACTTCTTGAAAGAAGCCCTTTAGGACTAGGTTTAAGACAAAGCTTTCTTGAGCAAATTTTTTAATTTGAATAAGTCACATGAAAATAAGTCTATCATATGTGCCTAAAGGTTGTCTAACACTAAACCATCTTACCCCAGACAATCCAAAGCTGGGTTTGGGCTGAAATTAAACCCTTGCAGAGAAGGTTTCTCTGCGGGAAATGATGCAGCGGGTGGGAAAGGTGATCAATTTTTGAAGTTTGGAAGGAAGAAAAAGCAGAATCTAAAGAAGATGAGAAATATATCCACCTTGAATGTCTTATTTTTTTTCCTTTAGTTAACAGGAGGCTGGTGACCCAGTGGTTCTAAACTACCATAGTCCATTCTATAGGCATTCGCACCTCTCAAAGAGGAGAGGAAAAATAAATTTTTAAGGGTTCCAGACCAGTTTGGTGATGGCCCCTCATTCGAAACAGCCATTTTCTTAACACTAAGACTTTGAACAATTAGATCATTTTTCCTCCAAAAGATTTTCCGATAACAAGGAATGGATTCCCTTTCACACTACAAATTCTACTCAAGTCTTGGCATCAGTTTTAAGTGTGACATCGATGACATTCCTTTAGCCAGAATTGGGTATGACCCTGCAGACAATGGATGTTATTTCAAACCACTGTCTGGAAGCAAGCTGTATACAGAGTGGATGTAGGGCTCCACGAGGACCTGCCAAATGGGGCGAAGCGTTCGTGCTGAAAAGGCAACACTTCTCTCAGGTTTTCTATTCCACTTTGTAAAGGAAAAAGGTTATACTCGAGAGATAGAAGTTAACAAAGGACACTGCTCATGAGCTGCAATAAACAGCCTGCCATTTTGCATATGGACTGAAATCAAGGCAAATGATAATCTTAATTCATTCTCCATTCATCTGTCCGTTTGGTTACAGACAAACATCTGGCATGGTCTCTCCCGCTTCCTTTCCCAATGACCACCCTTGGAGCTTTGCATGAAGAACTTATTCCCTTTTGAATCCGTGATCCCTTCTCCTGGTCACTCCTCTAAATCCATGACCATTGCAGCGGATCCTGCAGGAAGCTAATAAAGTAATAGGGGGAGGAGGCTCACGACGGTTGCACCTGAGGAATGGGGTCTGTGGGTGGGGGAGGAAAGTGCTGAGGCGAGCTTTCACAATATTCATATGCTTTCTTGAAATATTTATTTTCTTACGATGAGCATGTATTCCTTTTGTAATGTTTTGTAAAAGAGGACAAAAAAGAACCTGCAGTTGTTGGCGGTCCCCTTTTCTCTGCTTGCACCACCTTCTTACCATCCATCCATCATCCAGTTTGCAGCAGAAAGTGGATATGACTGAACTGACTGCTTTACATATCCCTAATATAAAAAGGTGAAATTCAAGGGGAGTGATCGACAGGAAAATAAATGTTTAACCTCACTATTCATCAAAATAATGCAAATTAAAATAATTTGTTGCCTTTAAAATAGCAAAGATTAAAAAGAGAGATAATATTTAGTGCTAAGGGAGTGGCCAGGGCATGATCACGCTCATATCTGCTATTAAAAGAATAAATTAGAGCATCCTTTCTGAACAAGAATGTGGCAGCCACCAAGTGGCAAAAAGCAGGTCACAAACCAGTGTGTTCTCTTGGTTTTCTAAAAATACATATATATGCAAGTAAAAAAAAAAAAAAAGACGAAGAATGTACAAAAACTAATACTGGTTAGCTCTGGGATGTGGATAATTTGTCTTTAACATTTGCATTTGTTTTTCTAAGTTTTCTCTGCTAGCACCTGCTAATCTTATAATGTGGGAGAAAATGAATGTTAATTTCTAAATATCAAAGGAGGGAGGAAAAAAGGAAATGATAGGAAACGATTTAGTTTTGATGGAAATGAGCAGCAGGTCTCTTAAAATCAAAGTGGGTTGAGGAAAGGCCTCATTGAGTGGAATTTGTCCCCTTGGGAAAACCCAAACATGACAGAACTTTTTTTCTTTCCCAGAAAAAATGACTCCAACATTGTCATACTCTAAAGTAAACAGAAAATTGAAAAGAACCCCCTACCCCAAGCTACCTGTAAAAGCCTGAAAATGGCCAAGATATTGTTCTTGAATGCGACTCATATTTCCCAGTACACTCTTTATTGAGAGTTATTTAGTCTAGTGTTACAGAGGTTTCCTGAAGTGGTTACAGGTGAAACGGACATTGACCAGATTGTATTAGAGA